GTGAACCGAAATAGTGAATATTGGACGTTTTGCTGTATTCTGAACAAGATCGTTTCTTTCCTCTTCAAGCATTTTCCTTCAAGTATGTTGCACTACTTTTATCGCTTCTTCATCGAAATACTTATTTCAACAATTTGGCATCAAATGCTTTCCATGAACCCGTTTTGCATGGAATCTTATCAATTTATCCATTAAACTCTATTTCATTGCTCATTGTCAGACTTTCCTACAATCGGCTGGTGAATGGTTGAGAATATTCGTCTGGCGATTTCAACCGGCATTAGTTTAATTTTTGAGTTTCCCTTAAGAATAGTCAACGATACCAATTCATGCATTCAATTTCCCATCTGCATTGAGATAGTTGTGGCAACACAAATAGTGATCATGCTCATCATAAAAAGCCACCTAGACACGTAGGCCAGTCCGGCTTGGAGGAGCAAGCTGTCGCTTTTTTTTCTACATTTCCGTCCATAAAACGATGTGCAAACAAAGTGAATGGACATTCATCATCCTCAGTACATTACTTTAGCCAGTTGCATCGGTTGAAATGTAAGCAATTGTGTGTGTGCTTGCCTGCGCTATCGTCGTCGGGGTAGCTGCAAAAGAGGAGCTTATGTGATTCGGTCTATAAATATGCGACAATGGCAAAATATGAGTTAGTTTCCATGGGCTTCATTTGATGGTTACTGCCAAAAGGTGCGACGCCACAAAAGTTGTGTTGAACCTGAGTCTATTGGCAACGAAATCTTCTCTTCTTTTTATTCCAAATTAGGCAGTTACCTCTTCAAAGCCATACTTTGCTGCTTAACTGCAACATTTTTGCATCCGCTAAACCCTTTCTCGGCTTCGCGATGCGGGACCGAGGCCACAAGAGAGGATTGCATATGCTACTTTGAAGGGCCCGACTTGCGCCTCTGAGCAACTGATGCCAAAAATCCGATGGCAAACACACTTAGTCTATATTGGCATAATTAAAGAATATTCCAGGGGAGGATGAAATTATACAGCTAAGGGTGAAATAGTAAACTTTGAAAAAATATTTTAGCCTCTATTTAATTTTTATAAATATTAACTACTAATATTACACTTTACTCTACTACATTTTAATTTATTCCACTTTACTACTCTAATCTATTTTCTTCTTTCATTTCCGAATTTTTCATACCAAATTCCCCTCTAATCTACTCTAATCTCCTCAATTCTCTTCAAATCTCTTATTCTAAATACTACTTCACTAGACTATTCTATACTTTATTCTCCTCTCCTCGACTCCACTCGACTTCTCTCTACTCTCCTCTACTCCGTACCACTCTACTCTACGATACCCTGCTCTACCTGCTTTCCTCTCCTCTCTTATATTCTACTCTATTTTACTTTATTGCCTTATTATATTCCATTGTAAATGAATAAACTTTATAGATGTTTTCAATACTATACAACTCTATACTACGCTATAGTATACTTCAATATGCTTGGGTATAGTATACCATAATTAAAGAATATTCCAGGGGAGGAGGAATGTATGCAGCTAAGGATAAAATAGTAAACTTTGAAAAAATATTTTTTCAAAATATTAAATACTAATATTAGACTTTACTCTACTGCATTTTAATTTATTCCACTTTAATCCACCTTACTACCCTAATCTATTTTCTTCTTTCCTTTCCGACTTTTTTTTACCAAATTACCCTCTAATCTACTCTCCTCAACCCTCCTCAACTCTCTTATTCTAAATACTACTTCACTAGACTATTCTCTAATTTATTGTCCTTTCTACTCTCCTCTAATCCGTACCACTCTACTCTACGATACCCTGCTCTACTCCACTTTCCTCTCCTCTCTTATATTTTACTCTAATTTACTTTATTGCCTTATACTGTGCCCTATTATATTCTATTGTAAATGAATAAACTTTTCAACTGTTTTCTATACTATAAAACTCTATACTACGCTAGAGTATACTTTAATATGCCTGGCTATAGTATACCATACTATGCGATAATACACCGTACCATTCTACATTTCCGAGTTCTATGAAAGGCAATACAATACATATATATTATACTTTGCTAAAATATACTATACTTTACTATACCATACTATAGTATAGGATACAATAATTTACTATAATATACTTTTCTATACTATACCATACTTTCATTGCCTCCTTGTGTGCATTGCTGACATTCTGTAGGCTTTCAGGCGTAACTTGTATACTCTCCTCAAGCTGTTGCGCTACGATCATTATTCTATGCTCCACTTCTTCCTCCTGTCAAAAAGGGCCAAAATGCAACAAGAAAAAATAATTTTAAGAATAATTCATTCTGAAAATCCTGTGTCCATCAACTATACATAGACTTTTTTAAATATGCATAAAAGAATGGAGGCAAACGAAATGTATCGCAAAGTCTAATTTTACGTCTCGGAATCGACTAAGCATTGAGTCCAAGAAGTTATTGAATTGGTGACATCGAATCTAATGCTTTTTGGATTAGATAAATCCGAGGTTAAGCGTACAAGTTGAGAATTATCTCATCATTCAAATTGATCAAAATTGTTAGTTAAAGAGAGTTAACGGAGAAAGAAGAAGAGAGGTTAGACTGGCGTTTAAAGACTACAATTATCACTTGAGTAAAAGTCAAGTAACACTCACGAATCTGGGATGAAATGAAAAGCATGTCCAATGAAAATCCCAGGCCCTCATCGTCACACACGAGGGGGATGGATCAAGCTAATCTCATGTTTTTCAAGGTAAGGGTCTCTAAACCACTCCACATAGCTCAGGGTTGTCCTTTTGCAATGTTACTTTTTGCCATGCAGATTCCCGTCAAGAAAGATGAACAGAGGTTCATCTGAATTGGAGGACAGTGACTAGCAAAACGCTAGTCGTGACAACTTTGTCCTCAATCGAAAGTGGCCTTAGAAATGAAAAAAAATGAAAAAAGAATATATAATCACATTTCGTTTACTTATGCATACTTCTACTCATTTTAGCCCTGTCATTCCAGGTAGTATGTTCAATCATGACAACTCAGAGCCAGAATTTGTCATAGTGTCGGCCTTTTTTTTTGTGGAAATTGGGAAAACATCGAAAAATTACCCACAACTGGGATGAAGCTAATTTGTGTGTACACGACTCACCTCCGGTAGAGTGTGGATTGCAGAATCGCAGAGATGCTTGCAAAACTTGGCTAGCTCGCGTAGTGCACGAGTCTCCGGCACGCAGGTCGGATCTAAGAGAGTTCCAAGCGTCAATCTGGTGCGAGCTTCGATGTGCTGCTTGCACGATAGCGCATCCACGGAGATCCGATCTCGAAGGAAGCAGATGAGGCAGAAGAACAGCTGCACCAATTCAGGGCTCTCGCAACTCAACGTCTGCGCCCAGAAGCCGGCCAGCTCGAAGAAAAGTGGCATCACCAGAGCCTAAATGGGGAGGGAAATGTAGTCGCAAATGGGATGTTGTGTAAGATTTAGTCGTCAAATAAGGTTGAAACCTTTCGACATGGAAAACTTGAAATACGAATTATTATTATTATTTTAAGCTGCACCTATTTTCGGCCAGTCGGGCTGAGAATAGCTTTTTTAGATATCAGTAGCTGGGTTCTACCAAAATTATTAAGTTAATTGTTTTATTGGCGGGACTTTCATTTCGTCGCATATATCGTCATCTGACTGAGTTTGGAGGTGGCTAGCAGGGTGAATGTATCATGTGCAAATAAGTG